CAAATGAGATGCCAGTATATGGTTATGTCTTGAGTTTTGGTATGTTTTATGATGAAGGATGTTTAAACAATTATAGTCAAACGAGAATGTGGGTAGGATGATGGTATTATGTACAAATATATTTGATTTAAAATACTAGAATTAATATGAAGCATGGGTGACTGTGAAAGAAACGCATGAAATTTTTTTGTAACCAACTGATACACTTTCTACAGTATGTAAAGAAAGAGGATTTTTGTGTTGTGTCTGTTTTGAAAACTAAAAATAAAAAAATTTTATTTTAAAAAAAGGCTCAGGATGGATCAGACATTGGGCCGGTGTGAGCTCCAGAAAGTTCAGTTGCCTCTGGAAGGGGGGGGGGCATCTTTGGGGTGGCAACACCAGCTTTTCAACATCAAAGGAAGTCAGATTTTCCATTGATTCTGGTTTGGTCTGCTCCCCATTCAAGCCCGCTACCCGGTTTGGGGTTCCATATTTCAAGGATTCAGACCAACTCAGCAGGTTTTAGAGAAGAGCAACAATCAGCCTTATCAAGAGAGACGGGTCTGAGAAAGAGAGACTGAAGGAAGCGAAGAATTTACATCTTTCTTCAAACATGAAAATAACCCACGCAGGAGACCATCTCAAGCTGTTCTCTATCATTCCACAGCACACAATAATGGCTTGAAGTTGCAGGAAGTGAGACGGTTTAGTTGTAGTTGTGAAAATGCTGGCCTGGGAGATGCTGATCCACTGGGAGACAGTGAATTCTAGTCCCACACTAGACATGAAAGCCAGTTTGGTGACTTTGGGCCAATCACCAGATGGTAAACTCTAGTCCTGCCCTAAGCATGAAAACTGGTTGGGTGACTTTGGGCCAATCACCAGGAGACAGTGAGTTCTAGTCCTGCCTTAGGCATGCAAGCCGGCTGGGTGACTTCAGGCCTATCACCAGGAGACAGTGAGTTCTAGTTCTGCCTTAACTATGAAAGCCAGCTGGGTGACTTTGGGCCAGTTACTCTCTCTCAGGCCAACTCACCTCATGTGGGGAAAATGGGAGAAGGGAAGAGTATTAGATACGTCCACCATCTTGAGTTACTTATAAAGTAATAAAAGTACGCTAAAAATTAAATGAATGAATGAATGTTAAAAGGACTTGGGGCTGGAAGAGTTTTCCCCCCAAGGAGAAATTCCTACTTTCCTGGAACCTTCTGGAAACTTGTAAAACTTTGGAGATCTGGAAAGCCTTTGGCCTTTGAATGCTATAACGCTAGGAATGTTGTCTTAATTGTAAATGCTACTCTATTTTTTTTATGTTGCATTACTTTATGCTACTCTGATTGTAACAGTTGCAGCTTTTGGACGCCAGATTCCCATTAAAGCAGCCTTGAAGAGGCTTATAAACGCACAAATAAATAAATACCAGATTCCCATTGTATCTTTGGAAGTCCCCCACCCCCACCCCAGTAAGGACTGTTTGATGAAGGAACCAGGGACCAGAAGGGATGGCAAGCACAGGTAGGGCAGCCTCCTGTTTGGGACATTCTTACTTTTCTTTTGTCATGTTTTATTTATTTTATTTGCACCGTGTTTCCCTGAAAATAAGACAGGGTCTTATTTTCCTTTGACCCCCCCCCAAATAAGGCACTTGGCCTTATTTTCGGGGAGGTCTTATTATTTTTGGGGTGCAGGAGGCAGCGAGTGTGGTCACCTCACAGCTGCTGCTGTGTTGCAATATTTTTGGAGAGGGCTTATTTTAGCGCATGTGCTCAAAAGCCCGATTGGGCTTATTATCCGGGGAGGGCTTATTTTGGGGAAAACAGGAGATTAATTTCCATTTCCACCGAACCGTGTGAGATCTTGGTTTTAGACAATCGAAATCCACATACAATATTCATCACAATACTAATAATACTAATACTGGTAATATTGGTAATATTAGTAATATTACAATAGTACATTACATCGTCATCATCCATTCTCTCCACATTAACATTCCCTCTTTTTTTATATCTCATCCTTTCTAACTTCTGTTTCTATTGTCTGACTCTAACCACTGGCAGAAATCCTCCCATGTCAAGAAATACTCACTTTCTTCTTTATCCTTAATAATGAGCATCAATCTGTCCATTTCTGCGCATTCTAATATTTTCTTAATTACACTCTCATCTGATGGCGTCTCATCGTTTTTTCACTGTTGCGTAAATACAATTCTAGCTACAGTTAATATATGTAAAACCAGATATATTGTCTTTTTGGTCATATTTTTCCGGTAGGATGCCCAACAAAAATATCTCAGGTTTCAAATCAAAAAGCTGCTTTATTGTTTTTTTCCAACTAAGGGTGTATTTTCGTCCAAAAGTTTTTGGCTTTCGGGCAGGTATGACACTGCTTAAAGCAGCCTTGAAGAGGTTTATCAAGGCATGAATAAATAAATACCAGATTCCCATTGTATCTTTGGAAGTTTTTTCTCTCTACCAGTAAGGACTGTTTGACGAAGGAATCGGGGACCAGAAAGATGGCAAAATCCCCCTATTCGAGCACAGGAAGGGCAACCTCCTGCTTGGGATGCTTTCATTGGGCTCCCTACACTGATCAGACCAGACGGCCTCCATTGACCTTTCCAATTTTAGGATTTCACCTGCCTTCCTCTAGTGTGGGGAAAAAAAGGAAACCAGATTGATGCCTCGGGAGTTTTCTGAACTATTTTTATGAAGCGCATGCAAATAAACACAGTTTGACTGTATCTGAACCCTCCTCTCCTCACCTTCATCAATCAGGGATTCTACGGACAGGGTTCGGTTGCGCATGTTCAGGGAGTCGGTGGACTGGGAGAGGATCCTCCGGATGCCCAGCGGGGATTCGTCATTGAACGATCTGAAAAGGAAAGCAAAATGCGTGACCACGTGGGATTGTCGTTGCTAGCTATCTTTGCGAGGTGCAGCGGACAAAACTTTTATCCTCTCTGGCCAACTGGCACATATTCTGGAGGACATCAGTGGGAGGTGAGCTATATAGATTAACAGAATTGGAAGGGACCTTTTAGGTCATCTAGTCCAACCCCCTGCCCAAGCAGGAGACCCTACACTATTTCTGACCAGTCTCTTCTTGAAAGCTTCCGGTGATGAAGCTCCTACAACTTCTGAAGGCAACTTCTGTTCCATGGGTTGATTGTCCTCACGGTCAGAAAATTTCTCCTTATTTCCAGGTTGAATCTCTCCTTGGGTGCTTTGGAGAATAGTTCGACCCCCTCCTCCTCTCTGTGGCAGCCCCTCAAATATTGGAAGATGCTCTCCTATCTGCTCTGGTCCTTCTCTTCACTAGACTAGCCAGGCCCAGTTCCTGCAACCATTCTTCGTATGTTTTAGCCTCCAGTCCCTGCATCCCAACAGAATAACAGAGTTGGGAAGGACCCTGGAGATCTTCTAGTCCAACCTCCTGCTCAAGCGGGAGACCCTATGCCATTCTGGACAAATGGCTGTTCAATCTCTCCTTGAAAGCTTCCATTGATGGAGCACCCACAACTTCTGGAAGGAAGCCGTTGCACTGGTTAATTGTTCTCACTGTCTGGAAATGTCTCCTTAGTTCCAGGATGGATATTTCTGTGATAAGTTTCTACTTGTTACTTCTTGTCCTTCCCTCAGGTGCTTTGGAGAAGAAGTTGACCCTCTCTTCTCTGTGACAGCCCCATAAATGTTGGAAGACTGCTATGATAAATAGAATAGAATAGACTAGAATAGAATAGAATAACAAAGTTGGAAGGGACCTTGGAGGTCCTCTAGTCAAACCCCCTGCCTAGGCAGGAAACCCTACACCACTTCAGACAAATGACTATCCAACATCTTCTTAAAAACTTCCAGTGTTGGGCATTCACAATTTCTGGAGGCAACTTCTGTTCTGCTGATTAATTGTTCTCACTGTCAGGAAATTTCTCCTCAGTTCTAAGTTTCTTCTCTCCTTGATTAGTTTTCACCCATTGTTTCTTCTTCTGCCCTCAAGTGCCTTGGAGAATAGCTTGACTCCCTCTTCTTTGTGGCAGCCCCTGAAGACTGCTATGATGTCATCCCTAGTCCTTCTCTTTGTTAGGCTAGACACCCCCCACTTTCTACAACTTTCAGAGCAGTCTATAGACGTGTTTTCCTTGAATTTCATAGACAAACCACCTTTTTATTTATTTATTGACTTACCCTGCAATGTTTGTAGTGGAGACACTTTTGGAAAGCGACAAGGTGGGACGGCCTCTGCGGGATCCCAGCAAGGTCTGCCGAAAACTCTCGGATGGGTAAATGGCAGAATTGGGACGCTCTCTTGTGATGGCTAAAAAATACGGACAGATAGTTCTGTGAGGGTTAGACGAGACACTTCTGTTCTTTTCAAACTCAGCTATTTTGCATTTTTCAAGCTGGGGAAAAAATACTCTGGATGACCATAAAGAGAAGCCCTGTGGCTCAAGGAAACCTAGAACCTTTCTCCCTTTTCTGGACTCCAATCAGAGCAACGCTGAAGATGTGGTTAAAAAAAGGAAAGACAGTCTGATATTCCAAGAATTGGCAAGATATCCCGAAAGCTGATGAGAAGGGAATTCAACACCCAATTTTCGATTTGCACCCAATTGGCAAATTCAAGTATGTAAATCAAACCCCATTCTCATTCTTTGTTTATTTTATATTTCTTAGCTTTAAAATTCCTTATATCCCATCCTTCTTAGGTTGGTCTATGACCACAATAAAGATTTTATATACAGGTAGTCCTCGACCTACAACGGTTCACTTAAGTGACCGTTCAAAGTTACAATGGCACTGAAAAAGGGGATTTACGACCATTTTTCACACTTACGACCCTCCGTTGCAGCATCCCCCATGGTCACATGATTTACATTCGGATGCTTGACAACTGACTCACATTTATGATGGGTTGCAGTGTCCCGGAGGCCCTTTTGCGACTTCTGACTGGTTCATTTAACAAACCGTGTGATAAATAATTGGAACCACTGCAGTGATTCACTTAACAGAAGTGGCAAGAGAGGAGTAAAATGGGGCGTAAAAACACACACACCCTGCAAATATATGGGAGTTTTGACGTGCTTAGCTTACTTTACATACTCTCCCTTAGCAACATAAATCTTGGGCTCATTTGGGGTCGTAGGTTGAGGACTACCTTTATGACAGTCTGTACCAGGGATGGCAAATCTTTTCAGCACCGAATGCTGAAAAGAGAGTGGGCGTGCTCCTCGGGGCCACAACCCGGAACAGGAGATGCCCAGGGGGCCTGTGGGTGTCGGAAAATGAACTTTCGGTTTCCAGCGTGTGCATGCATGTCAGCCAGCATGTCTTCTGGTTACTGCTGCACATGCGAACGGGCCGATTAGCTGCGCATGCTCACGCCGGAAAAGAGAACACCAGCTCTTCTAGTTTCCGGCACTGCCGCAGGCACAAAGGCCTGATCATTGCATGTCCATGCGTGCCAGAAACCCGGAAGAGAAATGGGCAACGACAGGCACGCCAGGGCGACATGGTTCCGCGTACCATTTCGGGCGCACATGCCCTGGGTTTGTACCAAAGAGAGGAAACTGCCCCCTGCCCTCCATGCCTCCACTGGATTTGGAAGCAGGCGATTCCCAGCCCACACTCACTTTTATTCCTGAGGGACACCGTCTGCAACGCTGAAGTGTTCTTCAGCAAGGCGGCCTTTTGCTGCTGCAGGGGGCGGCAAGAGAAGGAAGAGAGAAGAAATCAGAAAGGCAGCAAGGAGACAAAACTCAGATCAAGGAGCTCAGAAGTCCCTCGGCGATGTTTCAGGGATGCCTATTCGAGGAATTCAAAGATCAGCTGTGAAAGCTGGCAGGATGACTTTGGGGCCATCGCTCTCTTAGCCCAACCCAGCAGCGTTTATTGTTGTGGAGAAAATAGGAGGAGGAAGATACGTTGGGTATGCTCACCACCCCAAGTTAATTGTAAAAAAAAAGGGGGGGGTGTTAAAAAGAAATAAATATGTCTATCGATCAACCTTAGGAAAAGAAATAGCCCTTCTTGAAACTTCTGTCCTCATTTTCTGTCCCCATTTTCTGTCTGGCAGAGTGCTTTTATAAAATATTAACAGTTTAACAGATGAACAGAGTTGGAAGGGACCTTGGAGGTCATCTAGTCCAACCTCGCCCAAGCAGAAGACTCTACACTATTTCTGACAGATGACAGTCCAGTCTCTTCTTGAAAGCCTCCAGTGATGAAGTTCAACTTCTGAAGGCAACTTCTGTTCCATGGGTTGATTGTTCTCACTGTCAGAAAATTCCTCCTTATTTCTAGGTTAAATCTCTCCTCATTCAATTTCCATCCATTATTCCTTGTCTAGCCTTGGAGAATAGCTTGCCCCCCTAACTCCTCTCTGTGGCAGCCCCTCAAATATTGGAAGATGCTCTCCTGTCTCCCATGGTCCTTCTCCTCACTAGACTAGCCTGCAATTGTTCTTTGTATGTTTTAGCAGCCTACAGTCCCACCAACATCCTGGTTGCTCTTCTCTGCACTCTTTCCAGAGTCACAACATTTATATATGGCTTTTATATGTGGCTAAAGTCAAATTTAAATCTGGACAGGATGTGGGTTCTAGCCATGCCCATTTCCTACAACCGTCCATTGTCTGTTCTAGCCTCTAGTCCCCTCATCATCCTGGTTGCTCTTCTCTGCACTCTTTCCAGAGTCTCA